CTTCACGCAGAATGTCGATACTCTGATTGTGCAGGAGCTCGGCTTCATGTACTTCGGCGAAGATAGCCAGGTCTATTATGTCCTCAAATGTGGCTCTGTCGTCGATGGCGGGATAGAGGGGCGTGGCCCAGATAACGAAACGTTGAATTGTCTTGTACGGTGTCTCTTGAAGCTCGACCCGTTTGTCTATGGCATCGCCTTGTAACCATTTCACGGAGTTGCGAATATAACGTGATCGCCAGCTGAACAACTCGCGAGGAACCGCAAAAGCTTCTTGGCCTGGTGCGGCCATACTGATCAAAGGACTTTGTAACGCCCTAGACTTGTAAGGTTATTGCCACTTCAGGTTGACCGAGGGAAGGGTATACTTGAGATATGCTTCTTGCTCCATCTGTTCATCGTCCATGTTCTCTTCAAGCGTAAAGATGTGCCGTCACTTGTCATGGCAGTACCACCAGTATCGTAGGCCTGACTTTGGTTAAAGCTCGTCAAATCACCCCATCTACCCCGCTAATGAGGTATGCAGGCAGGAAATCGAATTCTGCTATCACGGGAAAGCATTGTTTGCAAGTATCGAGAAAAGGCCCGACAGCATATTGTACGGCGCAGGAGATGTTTATGCAAATTGGACCAGCATGCATGGGCTTCTCAATAGCCCGTCAGAAAGGCAACAGGCTCGGCCGGTCATTCCACTAAAGAGGGTCGCGCTTATCTAAGTAAACACGCTAAAGAGAACTCGCCACGATTGTTGTGAGCAAGAAGTTGAGCGTGCCAAATAGCTCAATCTTCACCTCTGAATGTCGTGGAATAGCTATCAAGCCATGACTAAGCTGTCTATAAAGTCTCACTTGGTTTTCTTCATGTCTGTGGCGGTAGTGGTGGAACAAACGCTTCCCATACCATCGTCCTACCGAAACACAATGTCCAAGGCAATCGAAAACTTTATTCAGAAGGCACAAGGCACAAGGCATGAGAAATGCCCCCACCAGATTTGCACCCACAGCCTCAGAAGGAACTCGTATCATTCCGTCCCGCAGCCGTGATGCCGAGCTCCAACTACGTATCGATGCCGGTCACCACGACGAAAGCACAAAACGACTCAATGTCGTGTTGCAGGTCAACTCTCAAGCCACAAGTCCGGCATTGCGTGAGTATGTCAAGAAAAACTCAACTCATGGCAAGCTTGCGACTGCCTCTTTTGACACGAGTGCCGAGGACAAAGACGCCGAGTTCAAGAAGATGTTAGCTGCTCTGGAAGACCAAGCGCGGGCAAAACTTGGATGATCATCGAGGAAAACTCTTCCACAATCCGTTTGATGTCAGTGTGGGAGCGTGATTTTGACACTTTTGAAGTGCAAGACCGTAGGCGAACAGATTGTCGAAGCAGAACCCTGTTCCGAATCGGCACAGGGTATCGATCCTCTAAGATACATTTCTGCAATTCGGACTGTTGTCAGCAGATCTTCATTTCCAACTTGACCCTGGGTGATTTTCCTGTTGCTTCGCCTGTTTGTCTCTATCGTGTCTAAGAGCTACATAGACGGCTAAGTGGTGTCTCTAATGCTAGGCTGACCAATATTTATTGTGGCTCGTAGAGGCCCCTGCTATACTCCAAAGTTCGTGCTCTTGGTGGAGAGGATCGTCGATGCAGTCATACATTATGTCGCCAGATAAGCTTTCGTCAGGAGACCATTGCTGCTGGCCGAGCGAGGAGTTCAGCGACACATTCATAGGCTGTAGGTACAGACTACAACAAGATTTCAAGTACTGAAGCTGGTGACACACTACACGTACACGCAACTCAGCGTACTTCTGAGACAAGTGGGCCAACGACGTGTGTCGCAGATGCTGTATAACCGCGTCGAACTTTTTGCCACTCTTCCCTAGCGCTCGAGTCCAGCTTTATGCGTCAGTGTGTTCACGAGGTCTCAGGGCAATGAGTACGTACTTCGTTTCGCTAGTCTCTGTTCCGAGAGCCAGTGTCGATCCGGCACCAAGGACATTCTCGAGGTTGCGGTAATACGAGCCTCGCTGTATCATAGTCGCGATAGTCTTTTCTACTTTGACCTTTTCGACCCGCAAGAGTTTAGAAGCGTTAAACGTTGCCGTGATTGCCTCCGCCGATGCCAAGGGGTGGCGAGATTTGTATGCGGCTAGTAGCACACAGTCACATCGCTGGACCATACGCGACTACTTGTCGCTGCGGTCTCTAGCAATGAAACGCCCGACGATCTGAGCCTCTGGCTGCAGTCGACTGAAGTCTGGCATGGTTGGTGGCCGCCAGAACAGGTCAGGATCGCGCAACCACTGCTCGTGACGGTTCGTCAGCTCCATCACTGTCTCTTCTTCTGGACCTTGATAATACGCAAGACTTCCAAGACTGCCAGAGTCCCGCTGAGCTGGAACTGAAATAGAGAAAGGCATCTGGCGGCGCAACTCAACGTCAGCGTCCAGAATATCGTACACCGTGCTCAGAATTGCGCTCAGAATAGCAACGTCCTGCAACTCGTCAGTGAAATCGCCATCTGTCACTGCACCTCCCAGCACACCTACCTTGTTCCTGTCACCAGTTAGAAGACTGGCAATGTCGAAAGATTCGTCTCGTATATCCAGCAACATTCTGCAGCCTTCTCGCCTCAATGTAGGTTTGAGATATCTTTGTAGTGCTAAAGGTAAGAATAATGCTGTTCAGGAGCTCATAGAGTTCACTTTTCTAGCGACAGTATTATTCTCTCTAATTTTCCTCTGTCATCTATCGCAAGAGCTATCGATATCTTCTATATGTACTCCTGCTGCTCCTCCTCCTCCTCTTCCTTTATCTTGGAGACTTGATACTCAACACATTTAGAGTGCATAGCAGACCCGAGATCACGCGGCAGATCCGGACTTTTCCTGCTGTTTATGCATGCATAAGTGAGCTGTGGCACGAAATGACGCTAAATTACGCTAAGTTACTCGAGCGCAAATTAGCTTATCCAACCTCGAAACAACATCACCACTCCAGATGTCATCTTTACTGCTTCACCTGTTTTCATTCGCTCGCCTTCCTTCACCTGCATTGGTTCACGGGTGTCAGCAGATATTCAGACAACCCAATTTCATTCTGATACGTTTAGCTGACGCCTCCGTCTGCGACATTGTGTGACAACAGTCATGAGCTTGCTCTTCTCGATCTCGAGAATGGTGGTCATGAGGCCGCTCGCATACGTCCACCAAGCGGAGCAGGCAATGGCTCTGCTTTCAAGTCCACCGATACACCTTCGCACTTCTACCACAGAAGCTTTTACCGAGCAATACAGTCGTGTGGTGAGAGAGCTTACGTCTCCAAAGTTAAGGTCAACCTTTCTGGTCCTTCTCTTCCTGCGATCAGCTCGTGCCATCGAGATAGTGTCAATCATGGAAGCAGATGACTTGCACAATTGGTACCGCCTGTCTCGAGATTGGTCTGTTGATTCGTTGTGGAGACATCTTACGCGCGACGATTTCAGGTCAGAAGAGTAGGATACACTTGCTTTGGATGGAGCAGGCGGTCTTCCTTGGAAAGAGTTTGTTAGGTGGAAAAGTATCTGCACACCCACTTCAGTAAGCTGTCGTCAGGCGATGTCGTATGAGATACAGTCTGGGGCCTTACCTCAGAGATCCCGAAGTTGCTGGATCAGTGCTCAACCTACGATGGAACAGCAAAGAGACGGTGACGGTATACATTCAAGAAGCTATAAAGACATCTGACTTTGCCGATATCCAGCACCGATCATGGAGCACGAGCACGAGCACGAGCACGTCCTCAATATGTCCATTTTCACAGAAACCACCAATGATGCGGGTATGAGTTCCGTGGACGATATCCGGTTCGAGCACTCCGACGTGGACAGCACAACCTCAGACCACAGCCTTGACGAAGACCCACCAAAGGACTATTGGTTTGGTCGCAAATACTTTGAATGTGTGCTGGCCCAGAATATACTGCAGAATTCACGACTGTATGACAGTGTAGCTCAAGTCGATGTGAGTCTCTCATCCCTTGAATTGCAACAACTCACGTTGCCTGCAGTCACGATTAGAAAGAGCTGTCCAGAAATTTCCGTATTCTCACAGCTTGACAAAACTTCGTGCAGAAGGCTTGGAACCACTACTGCCAGTTTCTCAGGCCGACCTCGAGCATGCTGCCTACCGTGTAATGATGTTCTGCATCGGTGCGGTCGTCCGCAAGGGTGATCGCCGACAGAAGGCTGTACTTCTTACCGTTCTCCGTCAGTACGGGGCGACGTCGCAAGCCTCAGACTTCCCACATCCACGAAATGGCAAGGCTCGAGGCGAAGGAAGTGTAAGAGAATATCCGCAGAAGGTCGAGCAGTTTGTTGACGAGATCAATACTTCCTCGTCGGACCTAGGACGATATGCGACAGCTCTGAAGGAGTACAGTGACAAGCACGGAATGGCACTGACGTACAGGGTTGACGAGTTGTCTAAGGTGCCACCGCGTTTTCGAGCGATCGTTGTGGTGGATGAGACGTCAACGTATGTCGGCACTGCGAAAACCAAGAAGCAAGCGCGCCATGAGGCGGCTAAGGAAGCCTGTTTAGAGATGGACATTGAAGCTTAATGGAATCGTGCATGGTACCTAGACATAGTAATGATTGGCGACGCATAAGAAATACCTTCTCTATATGCTGCAGGCATCTGCGCCTTGTGTCTCCTGACCCACAAATCACCTGCTATCTAGCAGCCGTTACGACAATATTCCGAACGGCATCGGTCATATGAGCAGATATATAGCCATCGACACTTTACCAGCATTTTCTTCTTTTGTACCCTTCTCGAGCATATACTATCTGCTATTTGGTCTCTATTATCACTCCTCAGCCGTCGACACTAACCGCCATGAGTAAGAGCTTAACCAGTCGTCTAGACGAGAACATCATCACCTTAAGCATGCTCGGCTCAACTTCGTCTGTGCTGAAGGCTCAGAGTAGCATGCGGAGCTCGTTGTCAGAGACAGAGAACAAGTGGTGCTGTGTGCTGGATGAGCTGTCGTGGCTATGTGATTACCGTACAGGTGGCAAGAGTGTCACATCCGTTGCTGCACAAGCCACTGCAGCTGGTAACGTTTTCTGGTTCGCGAACAATAAAATCTCGCACTCTTCTACCAAGCAACACTTACGATGGATCTTACAAGAGTTGCGGTTGTGTGCAGCCAATCCTGCGGAGAACGCACGCGAAACACAACGAAAGCTTTTTAGAAGGTCGATTGTTTTCAGTCGACGTCGAGTAGAGTCCTACTACAATAGCCTGTGCTCGCTCTGGGTACATGTCAAGTCTGAACCAGACAGACAAGTAGGTACGAGTGTTGAGCAACGACAACACAGACTATCACTGACGCCCCTAGATTCATCCCTGATGCGATACTTGGACAAGTTGCTCGCACTTCGTGACGATCACGAAGAGTTGTGTTTCTTGGCCTTCACTTGGCGAAACAATCCTTTAGAAACTCGATTGAAGCAATGTACCCAGGACTCTCCGATGCAACCAATTTGGAAGACTATACGACATTACATCGGACGACTTGGCTCGTGGTGGAGCGCGTGTACAATTCTGGTTTCTGCTGCCGAATCTAATGCTGAGATGTTCCTCAACTGCCGTGTCAAGGCAACTCCTATCGGATCAACAATGGATGCGAGGTCGTCACAGCAGAGCAATACTTGTCCTTCGTCACACTTGGTTTTCAGCAGACGAGAAATGGCAGATGGGCATGGATACGGCGACGACACAAGGTCAGTATTCACAAGCAGGCTTGCGCGCCGGCGAAGCGGTACATACGTGCATGCAGAACTCTTGGTCCTGAACCACTTTTACCGGCGTGATTTTGCTTTTGGTGGGAGTGTCCCGTATGTTGGTTGCAGCAAATTGTCCTGCTATTGCTGCCACATCTACATGAAGTTACATCCACGAACCATCCTGCCGCGTCCCTGTCACGGGAACACATGGGTTCGGTGGGCAATGCCGATCCTGCAGATAGATCGCTGTGGCAAAAGCTCAAGCCAGGACATACGCATTCTGGCTGGTATGGTTCACCGAATGCAGCAGGATATCGAAATGGCCAACGTCACAGGTGCAGTCAATAGACAGCTAGAGTCGACTACGGGAATCAGTGGAAATTGCACGATCCAGCAGATCTGACAGGTCGACAACCCCTTTCGGTGTCATGGCATGTGCACCGTGCTGGCAGAGTGGCATCCGATATAATCAGTATAGGCTAGTGATGTCGTCGCAGGTCCAAGATCTCTCCATAAACACAGTCTACTTGGCGTATCCAAGTCGAACCTAGATGGTTCGCTGAATCATAAAGCCTAAATGTTTTGCTACAGCCTTTTGCTGCGGACAATTCAATTGACATAATCTCAAGAGATCTTTTCTCTGTTTCGTTATCATGCTACGAAGGTGGTTTCCACCGCCTTTCCACTATTTTCAGTGGGACAGTCGAGGACTGACTCACCCTCGATGCTGCTCTCATGAGCACCAAAGCCACCCTCTTCCATGCACAACAGCTTGCTCGCCGCGGTATAATGTGGTGAGAAGTATCTCTGGCCTGGAACGCGAGCCGAGCACGCTAGCCTGTTTACCTGTCTCGCATTTCAATCTCGTGGTTTGATCTGGTATCTCAGCCTCGTGTCGACCCTGCAGAATCAGGTCGACTTCACTCGTTAGGAAGCGAGAGAGCAGACGACTGATTACATTGAAGTCCTTGACTTGAGTCGTGGGAAGACCTCGATTGAATGTGTCGCACTGGCACAATGTGGCCCCGCTACTGACGGCATACTCGACTTGACACACTTCTAGAAGATATGAAGGCTCACGCATCTGTCACTTCTGGACTCAGCACATCTTGGTCCCGCATCGGCACCGATCTGTTTATCTACTCCAGAGAGCGAGCTGATTTCTACCTTCGAGGCAGCCACCTGTATTGGTTTTGACTTCGATGTGTGAGCACAAGATCCGGTCGCGAATCATCTTGCTGTGAGACTGACTCAGTGTGCGATCTTTTAGACGTCGGACTATCTCCTTCCAGACACTATGAGTCGTGTATTCGAGCCCGATTGAGTAATCGACCCGTTTCGTGGGGAGCGAGGAACCATTCTCGATCTGAGGTAGGAGATCGCGGGGATGCACGTCGATGCTCTTACTGCGATCATGTTAGCACATGCGAATAGTGCGGCGGTCAAAAACATCGACATATCTGCTGTTGCGCGATAATCTGCCCGCTAGCGATAGGACTGGGTGTACCACCAGTTCGCACCAGGCGTCTTCGTTCGCATCCCTTTCCTCGCAGTATCCAATGTTTTTGCAGATCCTATCCAGCTCCCGATCGAATGAGGCTGCCCGTGCCAAAAGAAAATCTTGTCTTCCTTGAGGGCTATCGCATCCATCAGTTCTGTCCATGTGATCTCAGCTTCATCACGGATTCGGGGCAGGCTGAAAGCACTGTAGAACTCCACTGAAGGATTACTGAACTCGATCTCGCTCGACCTCTGTTGTTTACTGGGGCTTGAGCTACGACTTGTAACGTTTGAGGAATGAAAGAGAGGTGCAGGTTTGAAAGCATTACGACGCTCGGGCGAACTTCTATGAGTGAGTGATGGTGTCGCTGGTCCGATCGCTTGTCGTTTGGCGAGAGGTGTCACATCCATGGCAAAATTCCGCTTTTTGTTGGGTCGTAGAGAACCTGATCGATAAGGACGTTCATGTACGGTGACGCAGTTACGTGCCACTAGATGTAAGAGCTAAACCTCGGTCAACTGAAACGATTAATGGCAAGGCGCGACATCGAAGTCTTGCCGTTACGATACATCATCCGCCTTCACCTCCTTGTCGTGACCGGTCGAGGGTATTCTTATAGGTACGTATTGTGGTGGACCTGCTGGTAGTAGCCTTAGAGGCAGGTGATGGCACCGGAAAACTGTAAAAGCTGATTGACGGAGTTCCCAAAGGTCTCCCGCTTCTTTACGCTCGAATGATGGCCAGTGTGCAGCCTCAATATGAAGAAGAAGGTCTGGCATTATTTCGTCGGGAGCTCGAAGACGTCCGACAGAACTTACACTATCTTTCAGTCAAGACTCCCCTGGAGCTACCATTGCATGTACCGCAGATCACGAGTAGCAGGATCAACGAGTCCGGACACAATCGCACATGCTCACAAGTCTGTACGGATTGAGAATGCCACGATCGATAATGTGACACACCAATCTGTGCTCGTTTGGATACAGGCTTTCATGCTTCCTTAATGTAAATAGCGAGAAAAGCACATCAAGCTGAGACGGCCAATGCAGCGCCACCGAGGCTGTCACAGCAGCACAGAGACACGAGAGACAAGGGGCCAAGCGTCAAACTTAGACCTACGGACAAGAGGTCGTCGTCCAAAGTCCATCACGCGGATCGAACAGGACAGCCACGAAAAGGCGAGTCAGAAATTCGGCGCTTAGGCTTGCAAGACTGGTACCACGTTTTTCAGTGGTTGGCACCACGTCGAATTGGGGCTAGGGCTCGTAGGTTGAGGTCCACGTTACCGTCAATCACCCCCTTAGCGAGAGTCACCCCGAGCGAGCACATACATCTATTTATGGTAACAGCACTATATTGTCTATAAATCGTCTCTACTCTGTGGTCATATTATCTGATATATCGCGTGCACGCTTCTTTACTCGCCTGCGAGTCGGGGCATCAGTCATCAGGGCAAAAACAGCTGGTCGTGTGGCCTGATTAGCTCTATATCGCACTGCTCGGTTTGGCGGTGCCTTGGCACACCAGCGAACCTAGTAGTAATGTCGTCGTGATTCTTACGTATTTAGTCATGATCCAGTGAGGAGGGTGAAACTTGGGATATGACCGAATCGGTCGCTATGAGTGACATGAGAAGCATTTGAGACCCTACACAAGCCTGACGTACTTAAGCTTCAATCACCTAGACTGAGCATGCGAGAGATCATACGATACGTATCTTGTTTGCTACCAAGCTTGCCCAACACTCCAAGCTTCCCCTTACCATGCTCAACGAAGACCAACAGTCTCTCAGACGCAGACCGATACCGTGGTCCCCAAATCCCGTACGGTAGTGATGCTCCTGCTGAAGACTCCGTAGCGTATACAGAGTCGGACGCACACGAACGATCCAGAAGCTGCCTTGCAACCCGCTTGAAGTAGTGCGAAAGTGCTCCAGCGACACATCGAGCAAGTCGTGGCGAAACCCAGAATTGTGTGCGACAGGATTGAGATGAAGGCCGCAGCTGAAGTGGCCATACATCTTCGAGAAGGTCAGCGATAGACGGCTGCCTGGTCATGATGTTGCATTCGGGTCCAAAGACAATAGTGCCTCCGCTAGAAACGAATTCAGCTATTCGTTGAATCGCCTCATGTGTCACAACAGATTGACTCATCGTGGCCTTAGGAATAGGCGTATCGTAGATGACGAGCGCTTTCGGAGAATTTTGGCTTGGAAGAACTGAAAGGACTTCCTCGAAATCGTCAGTGACAATCACGTTGCTCCGCATTCTCAACTGTTGAGTAAAGAATCTATACCTCGCATTTTGAGCATTGCCTACTTTCAGCACGATTACTGATTGCCGCAACGAGGTAGTCCGGGGCGTCTTGTATGCCATGTTGCACTGGCGGTGCAACAACGGTGGCTTGACTTCTGCCATGTTGAGCTGGGGGACGACCTCAGTTCCAAGATAAGAGGTGGCGTCATGTGGACTGAAGAGTGAACTACTGCCGGGTCCCGTTGATGCGAGGATCAAACGTTCTGAATGAAGATCATCGATGTTCGACGTCCAAGGCTTAGCTCCATCGTCCTCGTCTTTATTGTCTTTCTGATCGGGAGTTCTGCAACTCGACTTTGCGGTAGTGTAGGTTGTGATTGCACCTCCAGCAGTGGTACCAATAAGGCTTGCAACGAGGACATCCAATGACGACCTCTTCTCTCGCCCAGCATAGATTACGATTTTGGGCTTAGTTGTATGGTGAATATCACCTTGCATCGCCACTGCCCCATGGCTGACATATGTGTCACCAAAAATGTGTCCAAGCGTCTGGACATCGATCGGTTGTGAAGAACCATGAGCCGGTGTCTTGGTGCACTTCCCCCTTAATGTACGGCGTGATCGCTGCTGACATTGTCCTGAAGTCTTTTTCTGCGCTGGCGATGAGCTTTGAGCTGCTTCGGGGACGTGGAACCAGATATTGCGCCGACCAGTCCGTACTAGTGTCCCACTGTTCTTAGGCTTGTACTGACTGACATTGGGACCTGCGTTGGTCGATGTGTAAAGATTCCCCAGATGCACTCCTTTCTCCAATTTCGTGTGACTGCTGGGCATAACTCACTTTCACAACGCAGTTCTTCTGCGTCAGATTCGAGCCTGTCGCGCTGAAATGCAGCACTGAAGGAAGCGAGGTTAGGGCTCTGAAGATTTGCGGGTTTTCGTGATTGAGCTGGTTTCGTCCTTTTTGACTATCAGATGATCTGCGACACGCCTCAATTTGACCGCAAGCGCTCTAGCGTCTGTACGCTGTAAGGCTGAGATTGTCCAGACTCAGCTGTGTTCTGTCATCTTGACAGCCCAGTACGGTTTGGTCGTATGGTGGCATGGTTGATGATGATGATGATGATCACAAAGAGTCCTTGCGAAGATTGAATGCACAGACCAGCTACATGCCACCAGAGCAGTGCCAGTGCGATAAGACAACAACGACATAGTTGTCATGCTTTTTGCCTAATGTGCTTCCATTCGCTAGTCTTGAGTACCAAGTTCAAGCATCGAGGCCGTGCTGTCGGAAGTACATCAGTATGGAACCTCTGGCTGCATAACCCCACTTCGCTCAACCAATCGCTGAAAGACACGTTATATCGATCCTGGATCTTTTGTAGAATGTGATCAAGAAGTCGATGTACATGCGAAACAGTTTTGCGGTCTCATGAAGCTGTCTTTGTATTAATAGCAAGAGAGGACACTCCGATGCGCTAAACGGCGTACTAATGTTTCTGCCGTGATCTACCGTGATTGGATAAATCTCGGCACCGGTGACCTTGGGTCAGAGTATTTAAGCTCAGAAAATGGTAACCGCGCACAAGGGTAACCGCGCACCCTCCATTTTCTTACCACTCATTCCAACTCACCC